AAATGTTGCATTGAATGAAGGAATATAACTGAAATCCTGAAATTTGATATGGCGACATCTATGTCTGTGGTTGAGAGAAGGAGCTCGTTTTGGATATGCGTACTATAAATGTACTAAATCTGGTACTGGGGAAATTAGACAGCTGATATCCGGAAATTTGATATTTTGGTCTCTGTTGGTATCTGAGATTGAGATATGGAGATTGTTTTGAAAATGCGTATTATAATTGTTCGAAAAGTACTAAATTCTAGTAATTTGGTATTAAGCTGGAATCCCGAATTTGATATTGAAGTCTCTGTTGGTATTTGGTATTGAGATAAGTCGATGGTTTGGGCATGCGTACTATATTTGTACGAAAGGTATTAAACAGTACAATACAGGGTGAGATAAAAAACTGCAACAAAGTCAAACGCCATAATTTTTCCCTTTTTTTAATTTTATTAATTGAAAGCATAAAATGTCGGAAATAGCATCAAATTTTAGAATAAGTTTAGATTTGTTCGAATTGGTCAAACGGTTCAAACGGCCAATGAAACCGTCACACGCTGCCCGAATGTTGCTCTGCGGTATTTTGGGCCCATTCCCGGCGAAGCACTAGCTTGAAGTGATCGACACTTTGGTATTTTTTAGTGCCAACCTTGCTTTCCAAAATACTCCAGACACTATAGCCCAAGGGATTGGTATCCGGACATTTTGGTGGCCATTGTGCGCTGGAAATGAAGCGAGGAACCTTATTTTGTAACCATTCTTGGGTAACGCGTGCTGAGTTCGATGATGCAGAGTCCTGTTGGAATGTCCAAGGCCCGCGGCCAATACGCCCTCCAAAATATTTTCGCGATAATATCCGGCATTTATTCTGATGCCACGGTCGATTAATACGAGCGGAGCGAGCGACCATCGTCTGTTGTGGCGGCCCACACCATCACCATGGCCGGCGCCTGACTTCTGATGGCCAACCGAAGGTTCACATTTTCAACTGACCTCTTTGGCAAGTAAACACGATCATTTTATTTGTTTACAAACTGCAGGACAACGAATGTTTTCTCATAGGAGAAAACAAAAATCGACAATTCACCACTTTCGGCCATTTAAAGGAATCTTTAGCTCTTTTGAGTCTGTTTTCTTTCTGTTGCGGTGTAAGTTCTTGCACTTTTTGGAATTTCAATGGCTTTACCCCGAGCTTATTTTTCAATATTTGCCGAATGGAATGTTGCGATATGTTCAGCTCGGGAGCCATTTTTCGGCCACTGCGATGCGGGTTTCAATCAAGTCGCTTCTTTACTTTTCGAACAATTTCTGCTGATGTTGCTGTTTTCATCCGTCCACTTCCTTGACGTCGTGCTACGCTACCAGTATCAAGGTTACGAGCGATGGTACGAGATACAAAAGATTTATTCACATTTAAATGCTGGAGTGCCCTAACGATAGCCACTTGTGGATTCCAGCCAAATATAGAGAAATCACACTATCACGCTTGAATTCCTGGAAAATTCTCACCAAAATGCTTTTTGTACGCTTGTAAACAATATAATGAGCTGTCACTGGAATAATTTTAACAGCTGTCGGACGAGTGGCTTAGAAATGACTGCAGTCTGAAGTTGGTTGCAGTTTTTTCCATCTCACCCTGTATTTGATACAATTTGATATTGGGAGAAAAAATAGAGTTGAAATCCTGAAATTTGATAACTATTTCACTGTTATTGCCTATGATAACGATTGGAGGTAATTTTGGAAATATCCACCATAATTGTTCAAAAAGTACAAAATTTTACTTAATTTGGTCTTGAGTGAATGTATAGAGCTGAAGTCCCGGAATTTGATATTGAGGTGTTTGTTGGTATCGTGGTTTTTGAAAATGCGTACTATCTTCAAAAAGTACTAAATGGTACTAATTTTGGTTCACTGTTGGTGTCTAGGATAGAGAGATGTGAGAATACATAAAACGATTTTTTGACAGACTAAAGTCAACGGCTGGCTTCTTCGTAGAGGAGCAAAGGAGTTTTAGGTTGGCTTAGTTCGATTTTGGCCAAACGCTCCTTTGTTCTTTTCCGAAGAAGTCGTCCGATGACTTAAACCAGGCAAATAAGCGCTTTATGTATTCCCACCTTAAAACGCTTTTTTGATTGACTTAAGTCATGGGCTGGCCATCTCGTAGAGGAATAAAGGAGTTTTAGGTTGACTTAGTTCAATTTTTCCTACCGTCCTTTGTTCTTGACTTAAGCCAAAAAATAAGAGTTTTATGTATTCTCACCTTAAGAGTGCCCGACTTCTGCCAATTTTGTGTATGTATTTGTTTTTAAAAATAAACTCTTTTCAAAATCAATGATCAGAAGAAACGGAGATTACGGGGCGCGCATTGGTTCTAATAACGAACTTTGCCGTGGAATTGAAAGAGTGAACAGTTTACATCATGTTTTTGACAGAAAATGCAGGCATTTCATTCATTTTTTTAACTCATTTTAAAAAATATCAAATAAATGAAAACAACTTGTTGCACATAATTTTGAATAATTCTCACATTCAGCGGGCTTTAAGTATCAAGCTGTTCTATCTCCTTATTGTGCCATGATTAATAAGGCCCTACTGAACGGCATTTTTTCAAGATACCCCTCTGCCCACTAACGTCTGTGCGTAACGTCAAACATTACTATGTCAGTAATTTAGGATGAAAAGGATAATGGAATGTTTGCATACAAAATCTAAATTCACAGAAAAATGAAAGGTAAAAGAATAGTAAAACATACTACCGGAACAGAGATGAGAACGTAATAGCATGACAATGACAATTCATATCCAGCAGGGTTACCACAGCTACAGTCAGTTGCATTTACGCTTTTAAAAATGAGACAGCAGAAAATTTGCAAACTAATTAGTGCAATTAACAGTCTACCAAACACGGTCGCACAACACCTGAAGTGCAACTACGACTAGATTCCACATGATGTAAGAGTCATATGTAAATGACTTTTTCCGCAATTATCATTAGCACTATTTATAGCATATTTCTAGATGCTTTCCAGATTTTTTAATCTAAAAAGAAACGCTTTAAAACATATTATAAATCAATATGAATATACTACAGGTATAGAATAAACATGCTACAAGTGTATTAACATGGCATAGCGTTACATTTAAGTTTCTTCAAAAATTCTTGGGAGCTCCCTAAAGTATGCTATAAAAAATATAAAATTCCTACCTTACCTTTTAATTTTATCATGCTTCTAACATACTTTTATTGGTTAAATTAGAAAACATATACCAACATATATATTTATTGCTGGTTTCACCCTGTCATTATTCTTATTGGAACGAGTTTGTGACACATGCATTCTTTAATGCCAAATCTAATTAGGACATACAATAGATTTTCCAAATATTGACTGTAAATCTTATTTGAAATATCATCGATCAAATTATATACTCTTCTCTAATTGTAGTAGAATTTCAAAGACTTAGGGTGCGAATACCTAAAACTCATTTTTGACTGGCTAAAGTCATCGGCTGGCTTCTTTGTAGAAGAACAAAGAAGTTTTAGGTTGACTTAGTTCGATTTGGTCCTGCGCTCCTTTGTTCTTTTCCGAAGAAGCCAGCCGATGACTTATTCCAGTAAAAAATGCGTCCATCTGCTTTGTTCAGTTTTGAAATACTCATTTAGGCCGGTATCTCGCAAATGAACGTGAGAATATACAGAACGCTTTTTTACTGACTTAAGTCTTCTTCGTAAAAGAGCAGAGGAGTTTTAGGTTGACTAAACTCAACTTCTTTTCTTATTTTATACTACGTTCCTTTGTTCTTTTACGAAAAAAGCCAGCCAATGACTTAAGACAGTAAACAAGTACAAAAGCAGATAAGTTCGCCATTTTGAAAAAACTTGAAACATTTCCAAAAAAAATCCCGTCGATCAAAGGAACACACATTAAGAGCTTCAAATACGAAATTTGAAAAAAAAAATGCCGGTGAATAATGTCCCAAAAGTCATAATAATATCGAATATGGGGGGAAGGCATCATTGTATGGGAGCTATTCGATATCGTGGACCTATATAGACAATTACCTTCCAGAGGATAAAGTACTCAGAAGCATTGAAAAATTTGGCTACAATAATCAAAATACAGAATATCAGGAGGTACCGTTATATGGGGGTTATACCATGTCTCAATAAGAAAGGTTTCTCAACTTCAAGAAAAAAATGCAACTCTGTGCTGGAGTCTTAAGGTGAAGGTACAAGGTATAAGGAGAAACGACGGCAGGATTCGAGTGCGGCTCTGTAATCCCTTTATGAAATGTCACAAAATATGCCTAGCCATGACTTCAAGCTTCTTATGTACTTACACCTTTATAATGTCAAATAGACTTTAGACTTTTTTTCTATTGAATAATAGACAATACAGTTTTATAGAGGAAGTTTTTTTTCTCTGCTTAAGTCATCTGGCTGGCTTCTTCGTAAAAGGAGTAAAGGAGTCTTAGCTTGTTCACCCTACGCTCCTTTGTTCTTTTACGAATAAGCCAGCCGATGACTTAAGCAGAGAAAAAAAACTTCCTCTATGTGTTCTCACTTTATGTTACCCTATACACCAGCATTGATGCATATGTAAAATTTCAAGATTCTAGCTTCAGTCGTTTCACTAACCCACTGAAATATTTCTAAAATACATGTTTCGAAATGAATACATGTTTCGAATATGAAGTTTGCAGAGACAAAATCGGTTCATACAAGTCAACTTATTTTCATATGCCAGGCTGACACTTGTCTTAAGCGAGTAGTAAACAGTGCATTCACCCAGTTCACATGTTGTAATTTAAATCTAGTTCAAATCTTAAAGTCATCCTCCAATTGTCATAATACAACCGACCCTATTAACAACAATAATTTCATTTAAATATACCAATTAACCTACACACGTACATAAGTACGTATTTGTGTCACGTTCTTCTCGAATATTATAATTAGACAAAATAATGACAACAAAAATAATAACTTTTTGTTTGTTTTATTTTACTTTTAGCTTTTGCTTCGTTTAGACCGACCGGTTGCTTGATCGGCTTGGCTGTTGTTTGAAATTATTGGCAAATTTAAATGTGTCGCAACAAAGAAAAACAAGTGCTGACTAACCGATTTTAAGTGTGGTACATTTGAGTGATTGAACTTTGGCTGTCAGTTGTTTTTGTTGACATTAGATGGTAAATATATTAACATATTAAAAACAACATTTAATGTTTTGATCTCAATGTTGGTTAGTAGGTCAAATTTGTGTGTGTGTGTGTGTGTGTGTGTGTGTACATTAGGGCGGCTGGCTTTTATTCGTTTGTCTATATCTTTAACTACGTGGAATTCTAATATAAGAATTAAGAGTTTTGAATCAAAAGACACAAAAATAGAAAATCAGAATATAAAAGCTTTATGTCGTTACATCCAATCTTTAAACACGAAACAAATCGTTATTCCCCGGCAAAAACCCGTTAATGTCTAGAATTTTTATCGCGCCATTAATTTTTTTTGTTTTATTTCGATGACATTGAATTGTTAGATTACCTTTCCTTTTTCTCTGATAACAATAATCTTTTGCTGCAATAAAAACAAAAACAGCAACATCAGCTAACGATCATTCGATATTTAAATAAACAATTACCAATGACGTGATTAGAGCGCACGCCCATTGTAGAAGAATACAGGTAGATGCAATAAGGCTTGGGAACATTGATATATCAAAATTTTTTAAAATGTTTCTTTTTTTAAAAAAATTAGTGTATTTTTATATGTTTTCTTATGCGACGCCAATCGGAGTTAGTTATGATGTACCTTTTCTAAAATTTTTACAAATTTCAATAATTTTTCATTCAAAATTCGTTTGACAATTCATTGTTCTAGCAGCCGTGTTGATGTGAATACCCGTATTCTTCTACCATGTACACGCCGTTAAAACACACCAGGTTCTTGTTCTGTGAAAATTCTTCAAAAAATTATCTGTTCGAGGATATGCGAAGATGTTTTTATAATAAAAGAGAAGAACGGGGCTACTTAGTGTAGAAGAGACAGAGAGAGAAATAGAGTTTTTTTTATTAAACTAGCATCTGGTTTAATGTAGTTCTCATTAAAAAGGATAAGAAAATGTGGTGAATAGAACTTGGAGTCAGTTGAAATAAATTAGACAGTATTTTCCGTTGCTACAGGTGGTATGTATGACTGATAAGCTTATGTAGCATCTTGGCTTGCCACATGTGAGATAACTATACGTGGACCTTCATATCGGAAACCTTCAGAAAGAAGGGGTGAGACTTAAGTCCATATTCTCAGGAGGACGATTCGGTTGAATGCCACTAACGAAATTCGAGAAAAGGCTCAACCATGGTACAATGAAGAGAAGGTAGGTCAACTTTGAAAAAATTGCAAGTATAGAGGTCTACCTGTTTGGCTTGTAATGTCAGAAGTACTATCAAAACAATAAAAAAGCAAACAACTTAAAACCACGAAAACTGAATGAATGGTCAAAATTTCTTTTCAATATCATGTTCTATATATCTCTTATTTCGCGACAAAAACTGTAGATTTTGTCGATGCATTCGTTGCAATAAGCATTTTGAAAACACCCGAATTTGAATATTTTCTGGACAATTTATTTGTTATTGAAAAGAAAACACATACATAAACAAATAAAGATGACATATTAAGCCAAGAAAATAAAAAAATTAAAATCATATGGTATCATAGCCCTACCTTGATATCATTGTACCATGGGCTCAACCATGTACTGGAGTCGTACAATGCCAGCAATGAAGTTAGACACAGGATGACGGAATAAGAAAAATTATTTTCTATGGCACAAATTGAAAGAAAGGTCAATGCAAAAAAAATTGCAAATTTGATGCTCCTATCTAAAACACACGGCAGATGTGCAATGCAGGACTACGCTACTGCACTTGAACGAAATGAACAAAGGAGCCTAGGGCCAAAATCGAACTAAGTCAACCTAAACCTCCTTTGTTCATTTACGAAGAAGCCAGCCAGATAAGCGCTTTATGTATTTCCAGCTTTAAGTCATCGGCTGGCTTCTTTGCAACAGAACAAAAGAGCGTAGGATGAGCAAGTAGAACTTATGGACCGAACTCAAGACATTAAAAAAGCTCATTATGCACTTGCACCATTATTTCCAAGGTTCCAAAGTTGTTTTCGAGAAGGGTTTCTTTAAACCATAAGAGGGTCTGCAACTTCATGTCTAGAAGGAAGATATACTGAACAAAAACCTTAGTAGTAAGCCAAAAGTAACTTACTAGATAACACGACGAATCACGAATTTTAACAACGAAATCCTACACATATCTACAGGTACCTCTGCCAGATCTACGATCTAGATAGATTACTTTATCTGTAGCAAACCGCTTGCCTATATACTGAATGTGAATCACTTATTCACCCTACGCTCCATTGTCCTCTTACGAAGAAGCCAGTCGATGACATAAGGTGGAAGCACATAAAGAGCTTTTCTGATTTGCATAAGTCATCGGCTGGCTTCTTCGTAGAGGAGCAAAGGAGTTTAAGTTGACTTAGTTTGATTTAGGCCCTGGGCTCCTTTGTTCTTTTACGAAGAAGCCAGCCGATTACCTATGCTGTATACCACCTTTGAGCCAATAACAAGATTTCTATGTACGTGCATCTTTATACTTGCGCCATGGTTCCGAAGTAAGACATCCAATAAAACGGGGTCCACATTAGTTAATTGCCTTCCTTTCTTATAACAAAAGTTAGCGATTGTTGGTAAAATTATTCATACGCATTCTTAAATATCCAGTACAGCAGTCTGAACACGGCAACCCTTTTACTCATATAGTTACACACCTATATCTCCTATATCCATCATCGCCAGCTCATCATCATCTCCTGTGTACATACGTGAACATTATAAAGTATTTACAGAGCAAAAATAAAGAACCCAAATGAACGAGCAGCAGTTATAGTTTTGAAATAAACGGAAAAAATGAACAAAAGAAGATGAACAAGAATCTCTCTACATTGGCTTTCAAATGACAAACGTCATTTCAGAAAATGAAATTGTTCACTACAAACAGTATCCCCCTCCACCTCCTTCCGTTATTTAAAATATACCAACACATACATATACTATTATGTATATACCTACCTACTGTGAATTATAAAAGTAAATAGTAGCATCAAAAGAACAAAAGAGAAAGAGATATCAAGTGGCTGGCATTTTGTTGCAAGAAAAAAAATTTCTGTTGAGTAAATAATAAAAGGCGTGTTTATTTATCTCTCTCTCCCCGGTCCGTTATTCGTCAGGGAGAGTGGCAATGCGATTGCCTTTTGACATATAAAAAAAGAGGGGAAATCAAGTGTAGGAGGATGCGCATTAGGAATTTCTATGTCTCTCACTAACACTCTGTGCAGTTTGATAGATGTGATCAGAGATGGATAGCGTGAATTTGACGTTGAAGGTCAATTTAAAGTGCAGGTTCATAAAGATTTTTTTTATTGGCTTAAGTCATTGGCTGGCTTCTTCGTAAAAGAACAAGAACTCGTAGGACGAAAAAGTATAAATAAAGGACCAAAATCGAACTGGTTCAACCTAAAACTCCAGTAAAAAAAAAAAAAAAACTATGGCTGGAAATACATAAAGCGCATATTTGGCTGGGTGGAAATATATAAAGCGCTTATCTGGCTGGCTTAAGTCATCGGCTGGCTTCTTCGGAAATGAACAAAGGAGCCAGCCGATGACTTAAGCCAGCCAAATAAGCGCTTTAAGCTGGGAATACATAAAGCGCTTATTTGGCTGGCTTAAGTCATCAGCTGGCTTCTTCGGAAATGAACAAAGGAGCCTAGGGCCAAAATCGAACTAGGTCAACCTAAAACTCCTTTGTTCATCTACGAAGAAGCCAGCCAAATATGCGCTTTATGTATTTCCAGCCTTAAGGTGGAAATACATAAAGAGCATATCTGGCTGGCTTAAGTCATCGACTGGCTTCTTCGGAAATGAACAAAGGAGCCTAGGGCCAAAATCGAACTATGTCATCCTAAAACTCCTTTGTTCATCTACGAAGAAGCTAGCCGATGACTTAAGCCAGCCAAATATGCTCTTTATGTATTTCCAGCCTTATGTATTCCCAGCTTAAGTCATCGGCTGGCTTCTTCGTAGATGAACAAAGGAGTTTTAGGTTGACCTAGTTCGATTTTGGCCCTAGGCTCCTTTGTTCATTTCCGAAGAAGCCAGCCGATGACTTAAGCCAGCCAAATAAGCGCTTTATGTATTCCCAGCTTATCTGTTCTCACCTGCACCTTTAAGGTAAGAGTACATAAAAGGCTTTTTTGACTTGCTTAGAGGTGGGAATTCATAAAGCGCTTATTTGGCTGGCTTAAGTCATTGGCTAGCTTCTTCGTAGAGAAACAAATGAGTTTTAGGCTGACTTAGTTCGATTTTGGCCCTGCGCTCCTTTGTTATTTTACGAAGGCAGCCGGTGACTTAAGCGAGTCAAAAAAGCCTTTTATGTATTCTCACCTTTAAACCCCAAATCGGATAAAACATATATACGGGAGCTATAGCTATATTTGTCAAGATCGGTTTAGATTTGGATACAGCTTCCATATATATCTTTATTCCGGTTCAGGTGCCCCAAATGGCTAATTCAGCTCAAACGGACTGAATTTTGGGGCTTCCGACGGAATTCAGCCTAGAAGCAGCCTAGAAGGTGAAAATCGGTTCAGATATATCTAAACCTCCCTTATATATTTTTCATCCGATTTGGCGTTAAAGTCCCTTAATATGCACTGCTGAACAATGATATTTGATACCGGACAACAGATACAGCTCGAAAATACATATGCCAGATTTCGAGATCCGGGCAGATTTTTATATACCGTCGATACACATCTTCATCCGATTTTACTGTTACTGCCCGCCATATATGTAATATCAGCCCAAATTGGATAGATTTCTTCATATTCAACCGAATTTTTCCATTTGGTGAAACTCGGCCCGGTACATCTATTGATCCAATAAAGATTTTTAATGTAATCCTGACGATGACATATGCTACTCAAAAAAGCGTTTTATGTAATCTCACCGTAAGTCAATGGCTGGCATTTTCGTAAAAGAACAAAGAAGTTTTAGGTTGACTTAGTTCAATTTCGACCATACGCTCTTTTACGAAGAAGCTAGTCAAAAAATATTTTATATATTCTCACCTTTACAATGTGTTCCTCAACTTTACAGTGTTATAATAGAAGAACGACAGGGTTTGAGCCTCGGTCACTCTAAATCAAAATACCCAATATTCGCCTTGGGTATTTTAGTAGCATTTCGTCTGCATTTCTGATGCAGAGATCAATGCTGGCGCCCAATGTAATCAGACCATATACCACTCTTAATTTATGCCCATTACCTCGCAAATAGTTTAGCCTAAGATATTTTGTAATTACAGATAAGGCAGTTTTAAACAATAAAATCGCAATGGGAATAGCCACGACTCTTTTAATACTGAGTTTATTTTTGATCCTCTTGTTAGTGGCTATAAATTACTGTCGCATTTTACTTTACTGGAGACGACAAAATGTAGATTCTTTCAGTTCCTTGAAAATTAATATGGAATCTAAAAAGAGGCACTTGGGACTGGTCCTTAGTGAATTCTATCACGTCATGTACCGGGAAAAGAAACCCCTCATGGTTTCTCCATCGTTTTTACTAACAACGGTAATGATACAAGATCTGGATATCATACGTGACCTCATGATGACCAACTTCGAATATTTTTCGGATCGAGGAGGTTTTGTCAATCATCAAGATCCCTTAAGTTATACTATCGTAGCCCTGACCTACAATGTGTGGAAACCAACAAGGCAAAAACTTAGTCCAACCTTTACGCCGGCTAAACTAAAAACGATGTTTCCCACATTGGTGCAGATCGGTGAACAATTTGTGAATGTTATTCGAAGCCAACTTGATGCCGGTGTTGAAGATTTAAATATTGATGATTTGTGTTCGCGTTTCACCACAGATGTTATCGGCAATATTGCATTTGGCATTGAATGCAACAGTCTGGTCAATCCTTCCACGGAATTTCGCTTGTATGGCGAAAAGGCAACCGACTTTAATATACATCCCATATTCAATATTATCGGTGGAAAATATCCCACATTATTTCGTCTCTTAAATTTGAAAATGTTCAATAAGGAAATGACTAATTTCTTTACACGAATTGTACGTCAAACTATAGAATACCGAGAAGCTAACAATATTCGCCGAAATGATTTCATGGATTTATTAATTGAATTGAAGAAATCGGACGATGGCAGTGACGGATTTGCCCTTTCGTTGGAAATGATTGTGGCCCAGGTGTTTTCATTTTTTATAGCTGGATATGGTACGAGTTCTGCCACGTTGTCATATGCCCTTTATGAGTTGGCCAAAAACCCGGCGGAACAAACAAAGGTCCGTCAAAATATTGAAGAAGTCCTTGTCAAAAGTAAAAATAACACAATAACCTATGATGGTCTACAGGAAATGACATATCTGCAACAAGCTATTCAGGGTAAGTAGGAGTAACTCGATGTTGGTATAGTATTGTCATATTTAAAATTTGCGGCTTTTTTAAGTGGAAATAGATTTTTTTTTTGCTTAAAGATGAGAATACATAGAAGGTTTTTTTTTTTTTTTGATTGGCTTAAGTCATCGGCTGCCTACTTCGTAAAAAACAAAGGAGCGTAGAATGACCAAGTATAAATTATGGGCCGAAATCGAACTAAGTCAACCTAAAGCTCGTTTGTTCTTTTACGAACAAGGCCAGCCGATGATTTAAGCCGGTCAAGAAAGCATTTTATGTATTCTCACCTTAAGAGTTAATTTCAAACGCTAAAGCTGAGAACACATAAAACGCTTTTTTGACTAGATTAAGTCATCGACTGACATCGTAAAAGAACAAAGGAGGTTAAGATTGACTTAGTTCAATTTCTGTCCTTAATCTATATCTGTTCGCCCTATTCACCAAGAAGCCAGCCGATGATTTACGTCAGTCAAAAAATCGTTTTTAGGTGAGAATATATAAAATGTTTTATTTTTTTTTTTTTTTTGGTGGCTTAGGTCATAAGCTGTCTTCTTCCGAAAAGAACAAAGGGGCGTAGTGTTACCAAGTATGAACTATAGGATGAAATTGAAATGAAAAAAACGTTTTTTGAATTCTACCTTAAGGTGGAAGTACATAAAGAGCTTTTTTGACTGGCATAAGTCATCGACTGGCTTCTTCATAAAAGAACAAAGGAGCTTAGGGCCAAAATCGAACTAAGTCAACCTAAAACTCCTTTGTTCCTCTACGAAGAAGCCAGCCGATTACGTATGCCAGTTAAAAAGTTCTTTATGCACTCCCACCTTTGTCATCGACCGTTTTCTTTGTAAAAGAACAAAGGAGCGTAGGGTGAACCAGTTACGGGCCGAATTTGAACTAAGTCAACCTAACACATCTTTGTTCAAAGACATAGAAGTATAAAGATGGGACAAGACAGAGTCAAAATATGGCAACCCTGTGAAAATACATATCTTGTTATGATATCGTAACAACATAGTTAGCAATGTTACGCGATTTTAACCGCTTTGGCAATATGCAATTAATTGGGAAGGTCTATGGAATAGAATATCTAAACCCAATATTTGGAATTTTCCAACTTTTATTTGTCATTTGTTTCTATAAATGTGTTTTTTATATTAACATGGTCCTGTCATGAGCTGTTATTCCAGATATTATAGACATAAACCATCTGCTCAGAATGCATTTTGTCTAGTCTTTACCATTTTAGGTCTTTGCTTTGTTATTTTATGAAGAAGCAAGACGATGACTTAAGCCAGTCAAAAAAGACGTTTTATGTATTCTCACATTTATGCTGGCTGGCATCTTCTTTTTAAAACAAAAGAATTAATGCACTTGAGTCCTCTGAAACGAAAGAGATCAGTAAAGAAGTGAATGGGCAATCAGACGTGAACTTGACATATTTTTACCTCAAACATAATGGATGATGTTTTGTTTTCTACTTACTACGACAAACATTTTTATTTTCTTTTTTACAGAAACTCTGAGAAAATATCCCATCGTACCCAATCTGAGACGGATGTGTCGACGCCCATGCACATTGCATGATTCCAATGGCAGAGTTGCGTGTGAAATTCCAAAGGACACTTTTATTGGAATATCGGTGTATGGTATACATCACAATCCAGATTACTACCCACAACCGGAAATCTTTCGACCTGAACGATTTAGTGATGCAGAGATAGCGAAACGACCAGCTTGTTCATATTTACCATTTGGAATCGGACCACGAGCATGCATGGGTCTTAGATTTGCAAAAATGCAAGTTGCATTTTGTCTGGCTTTACTATTGACCCACTTCAAATTTTCATTTTCCAACACCACACCAAAAGATCTTAGTTTTGATCCAGGAAATCCCGTATTTTTAACCGTCAAGGGTGGAATAAACTTAAAAGTAGAAAAGTTATAATTAATTAAAAATAAACAATAAGAAAATACTTTAGTAATATAAAGTCGAATAAAAACAACTTTAATAACAATTAAAAAGTTTCTTCAAAACATACATAGAACCATGGCTCAATAAGAAAAGTTGCTAAACTTCAAAGAAACCAGAAAAATGCAACTCTGTGCTGGAGTCTTATGGTGTCAAATAGACTCTTAAATATGCAACAGTTTCGGGCTTCTGTACACAAATGAATCAATGATAGTAGTACAAGATTGTTTTATCCCAAAGTATATATTTTGCTGTCCGTTAACGTGGAAAATATGCATTTCTGTTGTTTCTAAATTTAAAATAAGAACCTTCATAATCTCCAAATTAAACCTTGGCCTAAAATATCCTATTCGCTTGAAAGCTGTATTGAGTAGTAAAGACTAGACAAAATGCATTCTGAGCAGATGGTTTATGTCTATAATATCTAGAATAACAGCTCATGACAGGACCATGTTAATATAAAAAAACACATTTATTGAAACAAATGACAAATAAAAGTTGGAAAAATCCAAATATTGGGTTTAGATATACTATTCCATAGACTTTCCCAATTAATTGCATACTTTGCTGAGTAAATCGTCCCGGGAAGAGTTAACATTTTATCCCGTTTTAAGTTTTTACATCTGGCAACTTGAATTCTCCAATGTCACACTAATCGTAATCTATTACAAGTGTCAAAAGACACGTAATGTTTATGTTTTCGTTGTGAAATGTCAAATCATTCTACCAGGACGGAGACCGCAAGAGACTGATATCAATAGAAAAAGAAAACACAATATTGAATAAATTTTCACCTTAAATTGTTAATATTTTTGAGCGGAAGTGGTGACAATTTTTCTTCTGGCCATTTAAGTCGTGTCTATTGAAGAATAACATTCGCAATGGCTGATGCTGGGCAATGGTTTAAGCAACTGCCAAGATTTACCAGATATTGGCTGGCGGGCACAATATCGATGAGTCTTTTGACACGATTTGGAATTCTACCCCTGCAACACATGTATCTGGCCCGTGACTTGGTCTTGGGCAAATTACACCTGTGGCGCTGTGCCACCAGCCTGTTTGTCTACCCCTTGACACCATCAACAGGCTTTCATTTCTTAATCAATTGCTATTTCATTACACAGTACAGCGCACGCTTGGAAAAAGACCAGTTTGGTCGTAGCCCGGCTGACTATTTGTACTTGCAGTTGATAGTTTCGACCTTAGCCGTGTTGGGTGGTCTTGTTTTTAATGTAGCTTTTCTAATGGATTTACTGGTTGTTGCCGTCACTTACATTTGGTGTCAGCTGAATAAAGACGTGATTGTTAACTTTTGGTTTGGAAGCCGTTTTAAGGCTATCTACTTGCCTTGGGTGTTGGCGGGTATGGAACTCATTTTCCAGGGGTAAGTTGAGGAAATTCAATATTGAAACTCGTAACTAACTATTTTCTAAATTACAGATCCATTGCCTCATTAATAGGCATTTTCATAGGTCATTTTTATTATTTCCTCAAATTCCAATATCCCCAAGAATTGGGTGGCAATGCTTTCCTAGAAACACCAAGCATACTGTAAGACATTTTTTCTAATACATGCTTCAATTAAATACAATTGTCAATCATTTATTTTCTTGCAGCAAACAATATGTGCCCGATGTAAGTGGCGGCATAAGCTATTTTGGTGTACCACCAGCAACTAGAGCTCAACAAAGACCAGCTGCTGCTGCTGGCGGAGGTGGTGCTTTTCCCAATGCCTGGGGTCGTGGCAATACATTGGGCCATTAACTGTATATAAAAAGAATCTGTTACAACCTCTGGTACGAGTACTAAACACCAGCATGCATACATACACATATATATTTTTCTATAAACTGTTGTATATTGTACTGAATTTGTAATTTAATATTACTATATTTACTTTAGTTTCTCCTCTTACTGTGCGAATAACTTTATATAAATGGCATTATGTCTTTAAACTAGCATTTCCAACAAACAAAGGCCACGAAAATGAATGATGTGAAGGTGTAATTTGTATAAAAATATAATTAAAAAAAGTAAAACTATTTTCAAATAGGGTTAGGGTTGACCATAACTCGAGAGCGAGAAAAATTAGTTTAATTCAAATAAAAATAAATTAATTATAAAACCTATTTGTTGAAAATGTTCAAAGAATTCCTATTTTGAAGACATACGTAAAAAATTAAGCACAAAAAAGGATTGTTTAAAAGTTCATATTTTTAATTTCTATATATTCTTCATCCGTGTGAAATCCTATATTGATTTTGCACAATTTCAGCCGAGGTATTTCTTCATGTTAATCTCTTGCAAAAATTCAATCCAGCGCTACTATACAGTACCATCAGATGTATGAGTATGAGAAGGTTTCACACTCATTTCCCAATTTAGCGACAGAGAATATAACCCCACACTTTTGAAAATTGTTAATTTTCGAAGGTTTCAGTATTCGTTCCTCAGTTCTCGTTTCATTAAAATTGCTCATTTGTTTATTATTTGTCTACAAGTTGAGATAACCCCTATGCAATAGTACGGTGCTAATTTAAGTGCTTTTGGTTCGAATTGAATAGAGAACAATCTTCACAATTAAAAAAATTTGAATTTTCCATCATTGATTGTGACCCAGAACTGACCATGAATTTCTACTTTATAAAACTTTTTCTAAAGACAAAATTTCAGATTTAGTCAAAAAACGTAAAACTTGTTTTGCATTTGTTTAAGTGTCATTAGACCTTAGGTATATGCCTTGGTCAAAACATTAGACGTATTTTTTGTAAAGCGGACTTGCTCCATCCTGACATGGGACATGGTCCATCCGCTGAGTCCAGTCTTGGCCGATATCTCACGAATCCAATGGGTTAATTGAAGTGGGTTTTAAGTGGTTTAAAGTAGCCACTCAAAAAATAGGCTAAAAGCGTTAAATCGCACGACGTAAGTGGTCAATTATCGCTCCCGAACTTGAAATAAAATGTTCACCGAACTCGCCTCTCAATAAGTTCATTGTTAAGCGTGATGTGTGGTATATGACATCATCTTGGTAGCGTTCACGTTACGATTGACAGCATTTTTGCAGAAGTATCGACAATTTTGCTTATTTACGTATCCAATCCATTGATCCAAAAATGAGCTTAGTCGCTGAATACAAGAAGCGAGCGATGAACTTTCTTAACGGAGCACGCATTTTGATAATAAAAGTTTGTAAGACGATTCGAGGTTAAATTATAGACCAAACTGAAGATTTTTGACAGTGAAACAAAACACGAAACGTGCATGAGTTGTTTAAACAAGTGTTGGCAAAAAGATAATAGCTGAAAATCACACTTTTTCTTAAGAGTGTTTGGATCCGAAAAAAAAAACATTTGGAAGAATTTAATCTTTTTTAAACATTTGCCTTGTCTGACTTGAAGATACGTACGGAACATTTTACCACAGTGGAGAAGGTAACTTTCAAATACAACACTTTCATTTTCGTCGCTAACGTACCGACATGGTAGAAGAATACAAGTAGTCGCATCGACACAGAAGTTACCGAGGAAAAATACGATTTCTTCTTCTCTCGAGAGAGAAAAAAATTCAAAAAGTAAATGAACTGCATCCTGAAAAACATTTGTAAGATAACAGTTGATTCATCAAAACAACTTTGGCGCAAATCTTAACAGCAAATATATTTTGATGCAGTCATTTTTACATTTTTATTGCAAAGATGTAAAAAAGCTGTAATTTCGGCAGGGCCGATATTTGAATGCCCTCCAGCATTTTGGCAATTTTCAAAAAAAATCCGTTAAAAATTTTTAGACCCGAATGTATTAGGGTCTATACGACGACGTGGACCTGCATAGGCAACTTTTGTCATAAACCATTACAATATTCAAATGCGAAACTTGAATAAAAAATCGGTGAATAATGTATCTAAAATCATCAAAACACCCAAAATCGGGAGGTACCGTTATATGGGGGTTATACGAAGACGCGGACTTGCACAGACAATTTTCTGTCATAGGCTGTAGCATCCGTTACGAACTTCAAATACTAAATTTGAAAGAACTCCGGTGAATAATGTCGCAAAAATTATCAAAATACCGAATATCGGGAGGTACCGTTATATGGGGGCTATACGAAGACGTGGACCTACATCACCCATTTTCAATGCCAAAAGTCCAGCAGACATAATGCACATTTGAGTAAAATTTTATCAATCTACTTCATTTCGTTCTGAAGCTAAAGTGGTTTCCACAGACGGATAGACGGACGGACATCGCTAAATCGACATAGCTGATCAAGAATATATGTACTCTGTGGCGTCTAAAATGTATATTTCGTGGTGTTACAAATGGAATGACAAACTTAATATACGCTTCATACTATGGTGGAGGGTATAAAAACAAATTAATAAAAAAAAACAAACCGTTTCTATGCACAAAGATACCGTCTACAGCAAATACCTATTATTCCAGCAACTCCAATTGATTTGACACCTAAATGAACAAAATACCTAACCATCTAAGCCACCTAATGTGGTGTTTCCACTGCATTTGATTCGCTCTCTATTCGTTGTTTGACCCTTAACCATAGACAAATGAAGGTATAGACTAAAAAGTTTTAAAAATTTCCCTTGTTGATCTTGGGCCAGTCAAGTCACTCAGGGCTAGTGAAGTCACTCGACTCCGAAAACAATTTATTAATTTTTCTGCTATTTAAGTTCTATATTTCACGACATATTTGGATAATGTAAAAGTAAACAAAGTCGATGTTTCGTTTTTAATTGATAAATAATAAGGAATCATAAAAATATTTAATATTTTGAGAGAATTGAGTGAGTCTACTGAACCTCCCTCACAGCATGAACGACATCTATTGAAACACTTTCTTCAGAGATAACAGATGAGACAACTTTTTAGTCTATACCTAATTTGTCTATGCCTTAACTATGAAAAACTACCTAATTCTTCACACAAAATTTCCTGAGCGAACACTCATATTTGTACATTGTTCAAATCAGATCACTCTCTGAACAACGAAAAAATATGTCCCATCCCTAACAAATGAGAGCATTTATCGAAAAAATAAATTATGACATTTAAAAATTAAAAATAGAAAACTTTTATGAAATTGTAAAAATTTTTGGGAAGACTGAAAATTATGAATGAAAACTACAATGTTGAATGGCGTATGTACATTCAAACGAAAGTACATTTTTTTCTCTCATTCGAGGTACTGCAAACAAAAAAGGCAATATTTTCAAAATGTTTGTATCGGCAGAAAAAATGTTTGACAAGTGTCTCTCCAGCAGAATTTAAAAATAGAAAAAATACAAAAATATGTTCAAAATGTCAACATTTACACAAAAAGTTGAAAACGTGAGTGAAAATTGTAAAATTTATGATATAATAAATTTTTGGGAGAAAAACAATAATTTCTTCTATTCATATTAGTGAGAATTTCATGTATTTTCGTATAAATTCCCATTAAAATCAACAAACAAAACTTTTGAAAAAAGGAATTATTTTACTATGAATTACGAATCGTGCCGTATGAACGGGTTAATTCGTGTACCTAATTCTGAGAGCGAACAACGTTGTTCGGTTTTCAATGGAAACATGCTATAAGCTCTTAAATTATTTATTTTTCATCTTTACTTACATTTTTGCATAACGTTTTTCTTCAAAAAAAGATTGGTTGAATTTGTTTGTTTACAAAATAACTGATTACTGAACAGCTGATGTTACTGGGGAAAATTTCCCAGTAAGAATGTGCTAACTTTTAGTAACTCAAACAGCTTCCAGTAAACAATTGTACATATTATCGAGTAAACGAACCCTCCTATCATCACCGACCATATAAGGTCGGACAGGAAGACTGTAATTTCTGTGAATTTCAAATCACAATTATGTATTTTGACAGGATACTTAGTCATAAGATGGACTTACTGGCTGAAATTATATTTCTTGGTTATTATTGAAATTTCATAAAATTTTTCAAAATTTACAATTTGACCCAAAAGACCTATATGCTAAAGAAAGAAAATATTGCCTTGTTTTTTTTATTCAACTTCAAAGATATTTTATTTATTGAAAAATCCAAGAAAACAAAAATTGCAATTTTTTATATAAATTTAATTTATATTACGTTTCTTTTTTGTTTGTTCTTTTTTATATATAATAAAAGATGATAATAATTATAATAGTAATGCCAACCAACAGTGTTATATGCTAAAGAATTTACTACTAACTTAAAGAAGATTGTGGTTTTTTTATTTATTTATTTCTTGTTTTATACAAACCATTTAATGTTATGTTTGTGTAGCTAGGTTGTTGTTTCCTCTATACATACTTACAATAAAAAAGGGCGGGGGAAATAAGAAATACATATTTATGTATGTATCTATGTAAAATTTGTATTATTCAGCTATCCTATAATCTCGCTTTGATTCACATTTTTTATGATGTTGCTTCTCTTAAGATTCATATTAAGAAAAAAAATAAAGATATATTTAATTAAATTCTTAATTCATTCACAATATGCACTGCCATCCCCATCAAATAAGGATGACACGACGGCAATAGGTGAGTGAATTTAATATTAAAATGAAAAACGAAAACAAATTTTAATTAAAATTTACAATCTTATATAAAACTGTTATAATATATACAAACTTTTGTAAAGTTTTAAAATTTCATAAAACTAATCTAAATTAGAATTAAAAAAAACGAAATGAAGCAATTAATTTTCAAATCATAACATTAGATGAGTGGAGGATTAGGTGGGTGGTTGTAAAGAAATAATAAAATAAACTTTTGCCATGATGAGCAGAGCGGGTTGATAAAAGTGCATATGCAACAAAGTGATCGCGTGGTATGTTTGTATGGATATCGTAATGAATGTTAGCTAATGTGCGTTATGTTGCTGCATTACAATATCAATGAATTGATGAGAAACTATGTAACAAATGTTTTAAACGAGTATGTGTGTGTGTGTTGTCGTAAATGTAAAAAATGTTATACATTATGAAAAATGCTTGATGCGTTTGCGAATAGTTGTACAAATGAAAACAAAAACAAAACAAACCTTAAGATTATAGCTTAATATTAGAGAAAAATTATCGCAAAACATTTTTAAGGTTCAACCTGTGTACTACCACTGTTGTTGGCTTGTGTATCTTGCTGTAGCTGCTGAATTTGGGGGTTTGTTGAGTTATTTAACACTGTTTCAGTTGTAATGTTTAGCTCTTTATTGGTTTTGTGGACCGAGGTGGTGGTGACAGATGCATTTATTCCAATATTGCTGGTCTTTAGGGAGGATGATTTGGGGTTTGTGGTGCTACTAACACCACTACAACTAAGAGCTTTGGCTAAAGTTACTGATTCGGTTGATGGTTCCTTTGCTATAGATTGTGTGGATTCATAGGTTGTTGTCACTTTTGGCAACGTAGACGATGTTGACGAAGATGTGGCCAGTGTCGACGAAGTAACAGCCCCATCTTCTTCAATGTATTCTATTGCGGTGTTTTCATCGATTTCTGAAACTTTAAAAGAATCAAAATTAATGTTATATTTATTTCCAAGTAGTTCAACATCACACTTACCTATTGTTTCGTCAAATCCAGCATCTACTTCACATTCCATTTGCTGTTGACGTTGTCGTTCCGGCTGTTGTGATGCCGTGAAATTCGTTTGCACTTGTCTCTGTCTACTCTCCGACTGAATGGGAGACACATTCGTCGAACCCTGCTGCTGTTGTTCACCTACATTTTCGGCAACAATGGATATTTGTGACTTAACACCATCAACACGACCGTCATGATGTTGATAAATTTGCATATCTAAGATTTTTGGTTGGTCGTCTTCGTTGGTCCCAGATGCTACGGATTCAGAAGCGTTGGCCGCTTGTTCCACGGTTGTAGAGCAGGACGAAGTCAAATCATCTTCGTGTTCTTCCACAATGACATCATCAAAGCTATCAACAACAATAATGTTGTTGGCGTTGTTAGCTAACGCTTTCACATGTCCAGATGAGAGGTTCCTACTCGATTTCAATTCAATGGAAATCAATTCACTGTTTAGACGTTTTGCCTTATTTGCTGATGCCACACAGAGCGCTGAGGAGGCGTTCGAAGTCGATGATGTTGATATGGTTCTTTTCTGTTTAGTTGTTGTGCCGGATTTTTGGTACTGCACGGTGGCGTTATTGTTATTTGCCGCCGTTGTTATTGCCTGGTCTAATTCCATTTCCCAGTCGGTTGCACCCAAAATAACCGTTTGTTGGGTGGACGTTGACAATGGCAGGTGTTGGGAGCTACCCTGCTCAACTATAATTGGAGTTGTGGATGTGTTTGTTGAATTGCTATCTATTATATTTCCTGCGGATAATACTGTTACAGTATCTCCACCCTCACCCGTAGCTACACCTACACCTGGATCCATCACTATAGGCATATTTAATATATCCAACGGCGCATCTTCGTTCATAAACGATGAAGTGCTGCTGCTCATTTCAATTTTATTCTGAGTGAGGCTTTCTTTAAGAGCGGATGTTGATGTGCTAGAATTGGCATTTTGTGTCTGTATGGAGGATGGTCCCAAAACAACTATATTTGTTTTCGCTGCATTATTTCCGTCTGGAGAACTGACCAGTTGGGCACTTGCGGACGATTTTAACAATATGTTATTGCCCATTTTGGATAGTGTTACTGGTCGGACGACATTCGTAGTTGCTGATGAAGGCATAAAGATCATATTGCTTTTACCCGTCAGCGTTGTGGTCTTAGTTCCCAAAGCGTTTGTGCCGCCCTGAATATGGGTTGTTCCAGCTGGTGATCCCAGTGGCGCCGGAATAATTTGTACTTTTTGTATGGCAATGCGCTGACCCGTTCCCGTTCCACTGGAAACCGAGGTACCCGTTGCTGAATTGCCGGCACCAGCATTTGTCAGTATCTTGTGTGACAGGGCGGAAGTATTCATCTTCACTTTTGAGCCATCCATTAAACTTGCAGGTTGTATGACCACTTTTCCATTGGGTGATTGACAAATCTTGACACTCGTTCTCATCATACCCGATGTGGTAGGCAAAACATTCTTAAACGTTGAATTTGCTGAGCAAAGTGGTGTCACAACGGCGTTCGTTGTGCTTACATTCATAGGAGTTAGCTTTACATTGCTAATAATATGAGGAGCACCGGAAACTGCAGTTGTACTTTTGGAGGTGGACGTGACGGTGGCAACAGATGTTTTCAACAAATTTGGGGGTTTACGGAACACTGTAGCTCCGGCGCCCAGCGTGGAGAATATAGTGCCCGTAACGGTAACTGGCGTCAAGCTGTTTGTGTTGGTATTTAACACTACTGTCGAGGGAAGATTCTTAATAAATGTGGTAGTTGCAGTTGTTGTTGTGACCGATGTCGTCACAACGCTACCGGGTGTTGAACACGTTGATCCGCCGATTATGATCGGCGCATTACTTATGGATGGAGAACTACCGGAGCTGCTAACAATGTTACCAGAGCCACCGGATAAAACCAAAGGTAGAATTGTTGTTGTCAATACCTTACTCTGTGACGTGGCCGCTGGTGCGGGAACAGCGGCAGCATTATCGGGAGAGGAAGAGACAGCACCGACACCAGTTGTATTACTCTGTATTTGAATAACAGCAGGTGGCGTCTGCAGCGACGTAGCAAACGATGTACTATTCGTGGAATTCGTAGAGCTGCCACCTTGCGAGGTTTCGACGATGTGTAAAACCTGACTCTGGGTACTGGCCACATTCGCCAGCTCATGCAACGCCCCTGCATTGATTGGTGACAGCGGAGACGTTATGGTTGTGATTTTCTTATTGGTTGTGGGCGAAATTTTTGCTCCCGGAGCTATAAGCGTAGTATTCACCGCCCGTAATTTTGTAGCTGCTGCAGAAAATTGTGGCAATGCCATTATTTGGGAGGTCTGGCCGCTGGCGCTCGATACCTGTATTATATGCGTGGAACCCGAAGCATTTATCGCTGTTGGATTTTGAGAATTTTGCAGACTAACAATAGTGCCGGGAGCTGTACTTACACCCGGCTGACGTTCTTCCACAATATACTTTTGCACTGGCGTGGTAGAGATCAAAGATTTTTCCGTAGATGGCTTAATCGCAGGCGATTGGGAGGTTAATATCGTACTTATACTGCTTTGCATGTCATGCGAGGATATAACAGAAGGCGTACCGGAGGGGAAGGAAATGGGAACATGATGCTGAGTCTGCTGTTGCTGTTGCAGGTGGTGTAATTTATTATGATTTTTCGAGACATCACGCTTGGAAGCTGCAATTTGTGGGGTAGGGGTTGATGGCGGCATTAACGATGGCGTTGATGATATTAAAGGCGCCACAGATGGTGGCTGATTCGTCACAGTCGCAGGCAATACATGTATTTGAGTTTGAGCAGCAGATTGTTGTTCATCCATTAGAATCTGTTGTGGTGGCACATTCTGGGTAGCATATGTCAGAAACTGTAGATCGTTTTGTTGTTGGGTCAATACAGAATTCACGGCAATTGGTTGTGGTGATGAGGACGATGTCAGATCGATGTGCATTGATCCGCTAAGTGCTAAATTCTGTGGTTGCTGTTCGCCCATTTGTTTAAGGGTCAATTGCTGTTGTTGCTGTTCCAAAAATAGCTTCTGTTGAGCTCTTCGACCACTTTTTGCAGGCGTTGCTTGCCTCTTGTTTGCATTACTATTGGCCGCAGCAGCAGCTGCCTTCTTAGCCATTTTCTGTTTGGTCAATTGTTGTTGATGATGGAAATAACGTTGCTTTTGTAAATGTTGTTGTTGAGCAGCAGCTGCGGCAGCAGCTTGTTGCTGTTGTTTCGTCTTCTGTTCATGGCTGGTGGATGTCGTAACGTTGTTATTCACTTGAGGCGAATTCGCTGTAATATGTGGATATAGTTGTCGATTCGCCGAATGCTGATGATTCTTCTGTGGAGAATTTTCACTTATAGCTCGTTTTTTACCCGAACCAGAACCACTAATATTCTGATTTTGATCATTAATATTGCGTTTTAAATTCTTCTTGCCGGTACCGGATGGTATTTGTGGTATTTTAAACTGAAATTTAGAGAGCAAAACAAGACACGTTATTGGGTGCTGGGGTTGGTGGAAGAACAAAAATTAGGCATAGCTGACATAGGCATACTGAATGAATTACATTTTGAAAGAAGTGAAAAAGAAGAAAATCAAAGACAGGTCTTTAGGAAACAATCCGGTATACATTAAACATCGATAGACCAAAGAACAAACCTGAACAAATAGCAGAGCATAAAATGAGACTATTTAGACGCGGGTGTCAACATTCTAAAAGCAGGCAAGGAGGGAAACTTTATGTAGTTAGGAACACATAACCATTTTTGTGCGCAACATTGAAATTTTTAACCTACAACACTCTGTTATAAATTCGATTTGCCGAAAATTTTCAACTCCTAGAAATATTGAACATAGACCCAGCATGTATTATCATCATATACGAGCTTCATATTTTGCACTGGGTTCAAGTTCAGAGTATGATATAATTTTTAGGGATCATCCCAAAATTAACTTATTTTTTACTGATTTTATAGTCGCTCTACAGGTTTCAAATCTTGAACAATCGGAATATTTCTATAACTTTGTAAAGTTATCGGATAACAGTAAACGAATGAAATGCACTAAACCAAATTGCGAATATTTTTAATGCTGAAATTCATTAACCAGCGAAATTACATATACAAGAATATTAGTGTTCAAATATAGCTTTGAGTTTCCATTAGCACGAAAAGGACGTAAATGTAGGACAAATACCACGGAATTCGCATGTTATAGAGGATCCAGCTAAAACCTTACTAAATTTAATTTAAGTTTTATTTCTACATTTTTAAAATGATTTTGAAAACGTTATCCTTTTCTCTCCGTTTGCAAACAGCTGTAACAAACAGTATTTTCTAGATATTGTATTTTGTACACAACAATTTAAATGGTAGGATTAGGAAGATAACCCAGTACAATCACATGTAACCCAGTGTATATAAATATATTTTGTCACAGACAATTTATTAATTCAAATTCTTTTATTTGAGTTTAATCAGTAAGTGTAATTTTTAATATGAATTGTTGTGGTTGTGGAATTGCTTGGAGATGACGCCATAACGGCTAATTTAATAATAAATATAAATAAAAAAAATTGTGTGTCGGAACTGGGTATGCATAAGTTTACAAATAACGCTGAATCGAACAAAAAACAGGTCGCCAAAAAACCATTTCAAAAATAAAACCATGTGACAAAGGTAGTGAGAGCCAATGAACCGAACCAACTCAAATCGAGAAGTGGTTTGCAACCCTGATATTTGGAATCGTAGGGAAAATAGCCCAATTTCTAAACATGCCACTGAAGAGATATATTTAAAAAATCTCTAATGTACCGAATTTGACCATATATTAATTGTACCATTTATTTATTTCGTATTGTGTGTATAAGAAATATGTTAAATAAGTTTTCAGTTTTATGAGTTGCAATAAAAAAATAGCAACAATGCAATATGTACCCATTTTTACCCAAAATATTTTTCTCCCTCGATTCCATTCACAAAATCTGGCAACTCTCGTACTTACCCGTTAACTACTTTCCAAGTACACAAATACAACCCTGTCTTAGATTGGTAAACACCAATCTATTGTGAATGATTATCGCATAAGCAAAATACAATTGCTTTCGCTAATGTACATCAACATTTCCTAACAAATATTCCAATACATGCATTGCTCGGAATAAAACATAACAGAATGAAAAAGTTTGGTGAATTGCCCAAAATCCATCTAAATTATTTCTTAAAAAGACTTATATAACATCGGTGAGTGGGTAACCAATATGAAAGGTTCATATATATCGAAGTACTCACCGGATCACTGGTTACTATGTAGTTATTACGTTCCACTGTCTCTGTTGGTCTTTGCTTCTCTATGTGTTGCTGTTCCTCCTTGATGGCCTCGCCAGTTTCAGCGGGATACGGTAGCTTTTGGTTTTCACTAGCAGTTTCCTCCGCTACATTATTGGCTATTAAGGCTAAGGCTGTTTGGGGAGCCACACGTGGCAACATCGGATAAGGACGTCTACCTTCACGCGACCATTCTTGCCAAGTGTTTGGGCCAGATATGCTGTTAAAACAAACAGATCCACCAACATTTCTTAAGAATAGTCTACAAGAAAATATTTCATGCACTGGACTTACGCTTCAGCAATTGTAGCCAATTGTTCATCATTGGCAACACGTCTGGCTTCTGCTCGGTGTCGCTCTGTTGATATGTGAAATATACCACGCAATTCCTCTAACAATTTAGCCTTGGCTTCACTCAGACCTCCTTGAGCGCGAAACACACTTATTACTTGAGAATACGATTCCAGCTCTAAAATAGATGAAAAATGAGCAACATTATTTGTGTTTGAATGGACAGAAGGCCAGACTGCAATGTTTTATTCCATAACCACATTTCTTCCAAAGTTATCGTTGATGGCAGTTCACTTATTTTTGTTACAGTACCACTTTTTCTCATGCAGTGTACAGCACACGAACGACAACCTACCAAGTCTCCGTAAAATGCCTCGACATTCGTCTCTGGTCATTTGTAGTGCTTGCGGCCACATAATGCCTATATTCGGTATTCGTTTCCCTTAAGAAACTTGCACTTTATACACTGTTTTGTTTACTTTAATCTTAATTTGTCAAAGTTTGCAAATTGGAGCGAAAATGAAAAATTGGAAAAAATCCCACTGCTTCGTTGAGATTGGCAGCCATTAATGTTTATTTGTCAAGATTTTTAGGAAGTGTTTTGAAAAATACTATTGGCAGTGCTACCAACGTACTCACCAAACATATTGAAATTCGTTCCAGATTAAGAAAGGGACAGACTTCATGGTTGAATCAAGAAAGTAAAATCAAAAAAACATATGTTTACAATTTTTTCAAAATTATTTTTTTGACAGCATCTCACTGTCAAAATATATATTTATAAATTCAAGAAGATCCAGAATTTTATGAAAGCCTCATATACGCCAAACGTGCTTCAATAAAACGCATTATTTAGATTATTAATTTCTTATATATTTTATTTTTAAAGGAAAACATCTCATCCACTATAATAAAAATACAAATACTTACAAACGAAGTTAAGGTGAGATTATATAAAACGCTTTTTTGATTGACTTACATCTATTTCTATAAATTTACAAAGATTTATTTGTCAATATTTGAACCTAGGAAGGAAAAGTTTGTTACCATTTTTTCAAAATTGTTAATTTAACAACATCTCATTGTAAAAATGTATATGTATGAATTCATTGTATGTGTACATATCACAGATGGGAACCTGTTTTCTATGCAGTGAAAGTTGAAAAGGTAAATTAAATAAAATGTAGAGAGGGATACGCTTCTTTGGAACGACTTTAACTTCTTAATTTTACCATGCAATCAAAAGAGAATCCAAAATTACTGTAGCGAAAAAGTAAATATGCAGATACTTTGTGTTGAAAAATAAGTGTTTATACATATTGGTAAGAGTATGTTCCAAATTATTACCATGAGCAATACAGTTTTAGTTTGATTTGTTTATTTCTCAGATTGCTTTTACACAAGACTAATTACCTCCAACGATTGTTGTTACTAACCATGGTAGAAGAATATAGGTAGACGCATCGAGACTGCTGCTGGGACAATGAACTGTCAAACCAATTTTGGAAATAATAATGTTGAATGAAAAATTATTTAAAATTTGTAAAAATTGTTGAAAAACTCGAATAATTATAACCTCCGAATGACATCGTATAATAAAACACATAAAAATCTACTTATATTTGAAAAGACATTTAAATTTTTGACATATCAATGTTCCCAAGCGTTGATGCATCTACCTGTATTCTTCTGCCATTTTACTAACACATTAGCTGTGTTCCAGTACTTTTTTAGTAGTAAAACTAGCAGAAAAGAGAACAGTTCGAAATTTCATTCTCATTTAGGTGTGCTCAAAAAATAAGGGAACGGAAAATTAGCAGAAATGCGATAAAATGTCAAAATTCCAAAAGTAAACTGTCTAAATCGGACTGGTGAAACCTTACTGAAAAGGACGCCAAAATTTAAAAATGAGTATTGAAGACGATAACTTAGAATTAATAATTCTAAATGTCAAATTTACAATATGCATGTAGCTAAAACAAGCAGAAATGTGCACCACTCAGCGCCATTTTAAGAAGATTGCTGTAGCCATTGTAGAAGAATATAAGAAGACGCATCGAAACAGTTAATAGAAAAATTAACAGTGAAACCACTTTTGGAATTGAAAAAAAAAATAGCTCAATAAATGACTTAAATATCTGGATTTACTTTCAAAAATATGACCTAAACAGTTTGATCTTTCAAATCCATGGCAAAACTGGCGAATAGCTTGAATGCTCGTCCCGCAATGTACGTTTCTTCCAATCATTAAATTTGAAAATATTTTGTTTTTATTTTTCAAAACAATAAATACATACATACAGGAGTCGGGCACACTTCAAAAAATGTAATTAGCTGGTAGCTACCTTACCTTTCTATTGTACCAAGCATAAATCCCTTTTTTGGCTGGCTTCATCAGAAAAGAACAAAGGAGCGTAGGACCAAAATCGAACTAAGTCAACCTAAAACTTTTTTGTTCCTCTACGAAGAAGCCAACCGATGACTTAAGCCAGCCAAATATGCGCTTTATTTATTTCCAGCCTTAAGATGGGAATACATAAAGCGCTTATTTGATTGACTTAAGGTGGAAGCACATAAAGGGCTTTTCTGACTGGCTTAAGTCATCGGCTGGCTTCTTCGGAAATGAACAAAGGAGTCTAGGGCCAAAATCGAACTAAGTCAACCTAAACCTCCTTTGTTCATCTACGAAGAAGCCAACCGACGACTTAAATCATCCAAATATGCTCTTTATGTATTTCCAGCTTTAGTGTAGAAATACATAAAGCGCATATTTGGCTGGCTTAAGTCATCGGCTGGCTTCCTTGGAAATGAACAAAGGAGTCTAGGACCATTTCCGAACTAAGTCAACCTAAAACTCCTTTGTTCCTATACGAAGCCAGCCAAATATGCACTTTATGCATTCCCACATTTAAGCCAGTTTTATGTATTCTCACCTTTAGGCAAAAACAATAAAATGCTCACGTTGAACAGCAGTGCAATTTTATATAAAAAATGTATACATACTGTATATCATGAAATGAATTTAAATTATAAAACGTCATACCGAATTTAACACTAGTGTTACTACCGAGTCAAAATAGTTGGAGATTGCTGCTTCTCGTAATAATTATACCATGGTATCATGTCAACAATTGTTTCCTTAATTTTTCCTGTAACAGCAACAAGTATTTTATTTGGTTGTGCGTAGCACTTTAATTCTTCTTTTAGACCTTAACATATGATTTTTTCACATAAAATGTTTATAAAATGTTCAATATGCCCCTAAATATACTTCTTTATTGATTATTTTAATTCTCCACAAGCATATATGACAACTTTGCTGGCGGTAGCGCCAGTTTTTGAACCGACTTTTTCTATCTTCCGTACCACATCTGCTCCACTTATTACATGACCGAATACCACATGTTTATTATCCAGCCAATCCGTTCTGAAAAAAGAAAATAGATAACACGAAATTATATTTTGTAGTGAAAGATTAAGGCTTTTGTTAAAATTTGTAATATGTTGAAAAGCAAATTATTACATATTCTACACACAGTCTTGCCCCCAGGAAAAATATGACAAAAATGCGATTATATTGTTTGTTTACAACATTTTCGATCAAAATGTTTGGTCACTTACTTTGTTGTACATATGAAGAATTGCGAACCGTTTGTGTTTGGACCAGAATTTGCCATGGATAATGTCCCAAATCCATTATGCTTCAAATTGAAATTTTCATCAGCAAACTTTTTTCCATATATCGATTTACCACCAGTTCCATTATTGTTTGTAAAATCTCCGCCTTGACACATCTAAAATTAATGTATTCGAATCATCTCCATCAATATCGTATGTACTCTGAAATAAAAAATTCACTTACAAATTCCGGTATAACGCGATGAAAGGTACTGCCTTTGTATCCAAATCCATGTTCATTTGTACAAAGTGCTCGGAAATTTTCAGCAGTTTTGGGAACTACATCAGCTCTTAGTAGCATTACAATGCGACCCACGTCATTACCTCCTATTCTTATATCAAAATACACCTGTGGATTCCTTTTTTCACTTTTCTCTATTACCGCTGGACCACTTGAAGGCGTTTCCGGCTCGTCTGTGGGTGCCTGTCCATTAGCTGCGTCTGACTCATTTTTCTCCGCTAATGTTGCTCCAGCATGTTTCTGAAGCCAGTCATCATCGGCCCAAACTGGTTTGAAGCTACCTTCTTTGATGCGTACTGGTTTAGCCAAATTAACCCGTATTGTTCGTCCACAGAGTTCAGCATCATTCTAAATCATGTAAGTACGAAAACCATGTTTACATCACTTCCTATAAAACGATGTCATATCCAACATACCATATTATCTATTGCAGCAGATGCATCTTCGGGGGATTCATATTCAATAAATGCAAATCCTCTGTGTTTTTGTGTCTCGTAGTCGACTGGCATTTGTATATCAGCAATGTCTCCAAATGGTATAAAGGCATCATTTAAAAGCTTCTCGTTGACTTCATCAGCCAGGGAACCGACATAAACGGTGCGTTTGTCATTAGACATGTTTGAGTATCCAACTGTCCCACTGAACGAGACAATTCACGGAGCACAAAAAAAAAACAAAAAAATGCCGGGTTGAAAGCAGGGGCGGTTGAATGTCGGCGTGTAAGTAAAATTAAAAACAATAACTAAGGGCTCTATAAGAGCGAAACAATCGGCCTAATAGCTCGTTTACATTCAAATATTTATTCGGATTACCTTTAATATCGGCATTTATTTGCTTAATCCGGATATTCTCGACCAGAAAAAGCTAAGGCTGACACTGGGACAATTTTGAAATTCAAAAAAAATTGAAATTTGCAAGAAATTTTTATAAAAACAACGTTTGCTTATTAGTGAAGAACGATGGCAATATTTACCAGGGGTGAGGCAGGGTATACATATGTTTCGGAAAAAGCCACCAATCCTCATCAGTCCCTTGTTTATCGCTGAAAACATATGGATAAGGGATATCTCCTAGAAGAAACTACATATCGAATATTTAATGTGGCGATCATATACAATACGGGAAAAGAAACGCCCCGAACGACGAAATGTTTAAATAATATTTGATTGCAATAAATTTCCATTCAATTGTAATAACGACTATACCCGCTTTTCGGTATTTTGAGTAACGTGCTCTATTGAGAAGTATTCTTTATTCTTAAATAATTATTAGATTATATTACATTTCACTGATTTACATTCAATACAAAGAAAGCCATTGAAGGCCAATTATACATGTATTGGAAGATTCACTTAGATTAGTGTTAAACTATGATAGAACAGATAAATTTAAATATTTTTCCAATTCCCATTTTTTTTTTTTGCATGTGCCCTACAATAAACGAAAAGTTATGTCACAGCTCCTTTTTAAATGTTTTTTTTTTTTTCAAATATAAGTAGATGTTTATATGTTTTCTTATATTGTGTCATTGGGTGATTATTATAATTTGCGATTTTCAGCAATTTTTACAAATTTAAAAAACTTTTCATTCAACATTTATTGTTCCAGCAGCTGTGTCGATGCGTCTACCTATATTCTTCTACCATGATTACTAGGACAGTGAACTGTCAAACCAAATTTGCAATTGAAAATGTTGAATGAAAAATTATTTAAATTTGTAAAAATTGTTGAAACATGTGTATTATAATATCCTCCGAATGACGTCGTACAAGAAAACATATAAAAATCTACTTATATTTGAAAAGAAATTTAAAAAATAGTGACAGATCAATGCTCCCAAGCGTTGATGCATCTACCTGTATTTTTCTACCATGTTACACTTTATTAAATAAACCTTGCATGCGCCCAATATATCTGCCTTAAAGACTCCATTGTAAAAGTAGCATTAGCATCGCATGTCACTTTTGAATTTCACCTTCACCAAATAAGGTGAAATTGGTTTGTAACATATGTCAAGGAAGAAAGTCATATGTTTGAGATTTGTTTCAATCTTCAATCGAGAGATAAACAATGTTTTTATGAGTTAAGTTTTCGAAATAAACAGTGGTTGGATCCAAAAATAAAAATAATTTACTATAAATTATGTCGAGCAATATGTTTCGCACAGCTAAATACAAAATAGATCTTGTAAACTTTTCGTCATATCGCCGGCTTTTTGTGGTTCTATTATGTGTTTGTGTTTTCTTTTACCTGCTGCCGCCCATTTTTCGTTATCTATTTCTTGGAAGGGCAACGGAGAATAAAGGTAGGTTGTTGTTATTATATCCTACACCACTCTGCGGGGAGAATATATTGAGTTTGTTTTTGCCAAAAAGTTTGTAACATCGCGAATTGTAGAACCATAAACTAGACATAGTTCATAACATCTGGACGAGGATGTTAGAGTTGAGGACAAGAAAAAATCCTTGCATTTTGGATGTTCATCGGATTAAATTTATCATATAACGATGGTATAGCTACCTACATAAATAATAATAATATATCTAACCCAATATATCCCATTATGGCTTCGAACTCCTATTAGAATTTGGAATAGTTCATTATGGTCTAATTTCTTTCAGATCTACAAATTATGGTGGTGTAGGATTTCACATGACAATAATTTCTGCTTACATATTTTTCAATATAACTGAACTACAACAAATATTTTCCAGATCCTTTGATGCAGTGCATGGATGATCGCTTAACACCATTCTTCTTACAAAATTTCGAATATGATGCCAATATCAGACACGTCCCACCATTTGCGGATGAACGCAACATTATACCATATGTGGGCAATGGATACATTGGTTTGGAAGTGGCACATGATGCTCCGCTGAATATTAAATATGGAAGAGCTATGCAATTGCCCACACAATTTCATCCGGTTGTATCAGTGTTGCAAACTGCTGAGTCTGGTAGGGAAGCTACTGTTGTGGAGTATCTTTCAGGAATAGTATGGAGGTAAGTAAAAGGGGTTTGCATTATAACTGAAACTTAATTCCTCAAATCCATTCGCATTGTGATCCAACGCCGGAAATTGTATAAATAGCATTGGGGCTTATAACAAAGGCTTGATTTTATAAAAGGAGACTTTGTTTCATCGTCGCGTGTTGAGTTTGATGAAAATAAAAAAAATATAAATAACAAGGGCCTAAGTCTTACAAACAAAATCTCATTGAGCCAAAAAATCACATTTTAAATTTTGTTCGATGGTTCCTGCAGTCGCCATAGCTGATATTGTTTGCCTTGCATTCGTTTCCCCATTGCCAACTATTTTAGTAAACAAAAACAATTTCTACCTTCCCTGAATTGTCAATAGTCTTAATTCTAATCCCTCTCTATCTTTTATTTTTCTTTCAGATTCCAATGTTTCTCCAATATGTTCATATCATATTCTTATTATGCTCATCGCACACACCCCAGCATTCTAATGCAAGAAATCAAAATTACCAATACGCGGAATACCATGGAAGAGGTTGAGCTTATACTACCAAGGGTACATTTCCAGTCGCCCAACACTCGTACAATACAACTTGGTTCCACTGAATCTACAAAGGAGTTTCAAATTATCACTGGGACTCTGAGTCCAAATCAGGAGGACACATCTTTAGTTATCATTGTAACCATCGTTATACCGAAAGTAGCAAGAAGTATACAGCTAAAAAAGCGCGGCAGTATTAAAATCGAAATACCAATAGCAGTACACTATTCCAAGCCAGTGAAAAGAGACAACGAGGAGCAAATAAGAACCACTACTACTGAGACAGAGCAAAAGGCGACATTAGCCATGAATAAAGTATTACAGAGCTTGCAATCTAAAACGGAGTCTGCCAATGCAGCACTACACAACTTTCGACAGGCCCATGTTAATGTATGGTCTGATCTATGGGCTACAGGGTTTACGATCAGTACTTCGAAAGCAGAAAACAGTTTAAATGGTGATCGCATCAATGCCACCATGTACGCCGTCTTATCACAAACACGTAGTTATGAATTTGAGGAATATATATCAGTGTCTGCACCATCCAAACAGGATATAGCAAAGGCCTTAACATATGCCGAAGGTTGTTATGATTCATATCATACTTTACAAGCCGATAATTTATGGTTGCCCATGGATTCATTGGAAAAACTTAACAAAGTCGTCTCATCCTGGATGTTAACACTGGAAAAGCAAGGTTGTCATAATCTCATTCGAGCTGGTTCATCGGGCGTAATTCAGGCAATGGTTCTAAGTTTCGGTAGTTTTCGTTTTAGTAATCAACATTTAGAGTGCAATATGCACCCAAAATATCTGCATCGTGATTTCCACTTTCGCCGCCTGAACTATGGCAATCGGACACATGTAAATGTGACAATAAACGTAACTGAAGACAATAAGGCTGTCATAAATGTGGCATTAGATCGATCAGATCGTTCATATTATGCTTGTGATGGTGGTTGTATGGATGAGCCAGTTTTATTAACGTGAGTGAACTTATTTAAATTGCTTAATATTTCAACTTTAAAAAGGACTATTTTAATTTTCCAGTCAAAATCGCAGACAATTTCCCGTAAAACTCACAGAGCCATTGACTGCCATTCTTTATATAACCGAAGACAAACAACATATGGTTGAACTCCATCAAGCTATACATGTTAAAGAGGTTGTAGAAGGTAAGATCAATAACACAAATTGTTGGTAATTATGCACATTTAACTCTACTTGTCATTTATTATTTAGCTCCTGCGCATGAACAACATATAATATCCCTCCATAGACATGGTCACCAGCTGGGCGGCTTACCCACATTATTTTGGGTATCTGTATGTGCAATAATTATAGTATTCCATATATTTCTATGTAAATTAATAATTAAGGAATATTGCGAACCATCAGATAAATTAAGATATCGTTATAACAAACCGTGATTTTAGGTTCTAAATTATTTTAACCATTAAAATATTTAGCTTTTTTATTTTCTTTTCATTTCAATGTAATAACACAAATTTTTAGAATATAGCTAAGATTTGTATGTATCCAATATTTAGGATTATTAACAAAAGGGAGAGAAAAATAATAATGATAATATGATACCTTACTCTTAAAGCTTTACGCGAAGTAAGAAATGCATACAATTTTCTTTTTGTGAATGAGAAACCCAATGTTTAAGAAAAAGCAGACAATGTATATACCTAAAACAATTTATTTAAACTTTGATTACGCCGTATTTTTCCTTTAGAAGAAAATAAATTGATGTTGGCCTTGAGTAATAATATTTAATATGTTATTTATTGTGTGATGGATTGCGATATTTGTCTACGCGGGTATGGAAAACTTCGTAAGTGTAACTCAAAAGAGAAATAAGAAAATATAATCAGGGTACAAATTCTCGACTCTTCGATCGGAAAGGATTTGTGCATGCGCACTTTAGACTGATTATAATTAATTTTTTGATCAAATCAATTGGGATCTAACATCTTTTTTATGCATTTCGAAAGAAAATGAATGCAAATAGAATATTTTTTAATTTGCAAAACCAAACATAGAATGGTTTATTCCTTCGCAATTTTTTCCTTTCAACATACAATTACAGGGTGACATAAAAAGCTGCAACAAAGTAAAACACCATAATTCTTTTTTTTTTAAATTTTATTGAATGAAAACAACAATTGTCGGAAATGGAATCAAATTTTAGAATAAGTTTGTTCGAATTGGTCATCTTTGGCACGGCCAATGAAACCGTTATACGCAGCCTGAATGTTGCTCTGCGGTATTTTGGCCCATTCCTGGCGAAGCGCTTGCTGAGGTGATCGACACTTTGGTATTTTTTAGTGCCAACCTTGCTTTCCAAAATGCTCCAGACACAATAGTCCATCGTGCGCTGGAACGTAATTGCGCCAAAACTACCCTGGTTTGTCTGACGTTCTTCGGCTGAATTGGATGGGGGCATTACATGAGGAGGCGAAAGTCCTTCCCTTACGTCAGCATAATCTTATGCTTTCGTTACAGTACCTGCTTGGATGTTACCGTGAGAGTCATCCCAAGGAAGGACATACATGATCTAGAGAGGGAGGTTCAACGCTATGAGTAAGAACCTCTAGATCAGGAAGTCTATGAGGCAGGTTTGAGTGGCATTCATACCGATACAGTCGCACATGCTATCAGCAATTACAGAACTCCTGGTGAAACTAACTAACGTCTTAGTGTTTAAAGTCAACTTTCTAATGTTGTATAAAACATGTGTAATCCAAGGAACAAGGTGTACTGAAAAAGCACACTAGAATTGGAAAGAATTGAATTTGGTTTGTGATAGTTAATGCCACAATAACATCAACATTAATACAACATCGATGTATCTGCTACGAAATAAATTAATTCTTCAGTAAATTGCGAGAGAACGCAGATATAACAATACGGAAAAAACTAAAAGAAATCAAATATGGTTTTAACTACAAAATTAAATTTATTTATTTATTCAGCATTAAAATAGATAACAATAATTTTTTTCTGTCCATTACTGTCTTCGGTCGGTGCAAATTTTATAGAAAAATAAGTGCATTTTAGTCTTAAAATTAGGTATTTTTTACAATAAAGTAGTATATTGCATTTCAATGTACTTTTGGAAACCCTCTTTACTTGGTGACTTCGTGCATGGCCTTGGCTAAGTATTCCACATTTTTGGTAGTAACACCAGCCATTGAAATACGACCATCTCGTGTCAAATAAATGCTATATTCCTTTGCTAAGCGATCAACCTGTTCGGGTTTCATGCCAGTGTAGCAGAACATACCAATTTGATTGGTAACGTGATCCCAGGAAAGTTTCGAGCCATTCTTAATCAAATTATCCTTTAGTTTAGAACGAACACCAATAATACGATCAGCCATAATCTTGACATCCTTCAACCATTCACTGCGCAATTGATTGTCGTTCAAAATTTCTGCAACCAAACGGGCGCCATGAATTGGAGGGTTTGAGTAGAGGGCGCGAATTAAAATCTTAATTTGCGATGTAACACGGTCAGCCTCCTCTTTGTTGGCGCAGGCAACTGTGAACGCGCCAGCACGTTCACCATAAAGACCCATATTCTTGGCAAAACTTTGGGACAAACAGTATTGGTGGCCCTCTGATTCGAAAATGCGAATGGCTTGAGCATCACGATCGATATCACCAGAAGCAAAACCTTGATAAGCCATGTCGAAGAATGGATACAAATTCTTTTCCTTTATCAATTTGGAAAGTTCTAACCACTGTTCCTTGGTGGGGTCAACACCAGTGGGATTGTGGGCACAGGCGTGCAACAATATAATGGACCTGGCTGGAATTTTCTATATAATAAAATATTTGAATTACATTTGTGTCTTTGCGCTTGAAACAGCAAATCTACAATACTTACGCTAATATCATCCAAACATCCCTTAAAGTCCAAACCACATGTATTGGGATCATAGTAACGATATTTCTTAATAGGCAATCCGGCGTGTTCAAAAATGGGAACGTGGTTGCCCCAAGTTGGATTGGGAACATACACTTCGCGATTGCCATCCCAGAACTTACTTAAAAAGGCCGAACCAATACGCAAACTTCCAGTTCCACTAATACCTTGGGCCGTAGAATTACGTTTTTCATGTAAAACCTGTGAATCATTGCCCAAAGCCAATTCAATAGCCTTGTTATAGAATTCGGGAATACCTAGAATGGTGGCATATTCTTTGTTCAATTTTTTGCCAATGACACGTTGTTCTGCCTAAAAAGAGAGGATACCACTTACATTTACATCCGACTCTATAAGATTTTGTTAAAACTCACCTTAATTACACTAGGCAAAACCCAGGGATTTCCGTTGTCGTCCCTATAGGCACCGACACCCAAGTTGATGCGATTGGGATTTGTGTCTTTTTTGTATGCCTCCGTAATACCCAAAATGGCATCGGGTGGACCCATTTTCACACCATCGAACCATGATCTGCAAGTATTTGAAATTTATCAATGAAATATGGACACATGTGTTCAAAAAAAAAAAATTAAATAATAATTGTATTGTATTCAATAAACCAACGAATGTCAAGTTTGCATGTACCCAATCAAATCTACATGATTTGTATTTATTAACATGCTTTAGGTAGCATATCTTGGTACTCGGTGCACGAGAAATCCACCTTAATTGATCAACGTATGGAAACCTCTGACTTTACCTTGGCGACTTTTCTCAAAATAGAGGGAGCTATTCATGATGCTTCTTATATCATACTCTCTTCACTATACAAAGTATGAAGAGTATATTATGTTGGTCACTCGGTTTGTAACTCATTGAAAGAATCATTGGCTTAACTCTAGTTTAGTAAAAACTCTTCAATTTTTCGAAAATTTTTCTAGTGGTAGGTATTTTTACCCTGATCCCGGGACCCCAGGTTTTTGACCCCAAAGTCCGGGTTCCAAAAGGGGACCATTATGGTGGTCAACAAAATTGATGCCAAATTATAGCTGGCACTCTTACCTTTCCAAAATGCTACAATTTGTGCTAATACCTTTACTGAGTCCAGAGATATGGATCTTTCCATCCGCATAATCCGATTCTAACCAGTTCATTAAAATTATGTTTTCAATAAAAAAGGCTTATTTCACTTAGCCGTTGTTGGATTACAAAAGCACCACATTTAGAAAACTTTGGTTCGCATTAGCCGGTGTGGGACATACCCAGAGGAGAAAATCTCAAGCCCCGACCGAAGGCCGTCTATTTAAAAAAAAAGTGTCATATTTAGAAAACTTTGGTTCGCGTTAGCCGGTGAGGGACATACCCAGAGGAGAAAATCTCAAGCCTCGGCCAAAGGCCGACTACTTACAAAGGGTATCAAATTTAGAAAACTTTGGTTCGCGGTAGCCGGTGTGGGACATGCCCAGAGGAGAAAATTGCAAGCCCCGGCCGAAGGCCGGCTATTTAAAAAAAGTGTCAAATTTAGAAAACTTTGGTTCGCGTTAGCCGGTGAGGGACATACTCAGAGGAGAAAATCTCAAGCCTCGGCCGAAGGCCGACTACTTACAAATGGTATCAAATTTAGAAAACTTTGGTTCGCCTTAGCCGGTGTGTGACATACCCAGAGGAGAAAATTGCAAGCACCGGCCGAAGGCCGGCTATTTAAAAAAGTGTCAAATTTAGAAAACTTTGGTTCGCGTTAGCCGGTAAGGGACATACCCAGAGGAGAAAATCTGAAGCCTCGGCCGAAGGCCGACTACTTACAAATGGTATCAAATTTAGAAAACTTTGGTTCGCCTTAGCCGGTGTGTGACATACCCAGAGGAGAAAATTGCAAGCACCGGCCGAAGGCCGGCTATTTAAAAAAAGTGTCAAATTTAGAAAACTTTGGTTCGCGTTAGCCGGTAAGGGACATACCCAGAGGAGAAAATCTGAAGCCTCGGCCGAAGGCCGACTACTTACAAATGGTATCAAATTTAGAAAACTTTGGTTCGCGTTAGTCGGTGTGGGACATACCCAGAGGGAAAATCTCAAGCCCCGGCCGAAGTCTTGGTATTTAAAAAAAATGTCAAATTTAGAAAACTTTGGTTCGCGTTAGCCGGTGAAGGACATACTCAGAGGAGAAAATGTCAAGGCCCGGCCGAAGGCCGGTCACTTACAAAAGGTATCCAATTTAGAAAACTTTGGTTCGCTTTAGCCGATGTGGGACATACCCAGAGGAGAAAATCTCAAGCCCCGGCCGAAGGCCGGCTATTTACAAAATGTGTCAAATTTAGAAAACTTTTGTAATTCCAACGACGGCTACGCGAAATAAACCTTCTTTTACTGAAAACATAATTTTAATAAACTGGTTAGAATCGGGTTATGCGGATGAAAAGACCCATATCTCTGGACCCGAAAAAGGTATTAGCACAAATTGTAGCAATTCGGAAAGGTAAGAGATGCCAGCTATAATTTGGCATCAATTTTTTTTTTATAAAAAATCCGGGTACAAAAAATCGATAATTTGACTATAACTTCCGAACCGTGACCACATCATGTGACCACTTGTTGGATAAGTATTTTCATAAGCTTTCCAACATTACCTACGTTGTAATAGGGTCCGTGTCCAGGCCGGGTCTTGAACCCGGATTTTCGGGTCAAAAATCGGAGGTCCCGGGTTCCCGGAATCTGGGTAAAAATACCTACCTCTGGGAAAATTTTCGAAAAAATCGAAGAGTTTTTACTAAACTAGAGTTGTTCCAGGAACTTTCTAATTGCGGCGAAACATTCATGGTTGGTAAGTTAAAACAAATTCATGGCTGGTAAGTAAATTTTTGATGCAATGTATATGTTAACAAGAAAAGTTGCCGTATTTGGAGCAAAGATAATCCACACGTTGTTCAAGAATTACCAATGCATGCCGATATATACACTGTTTGGTGCCGTCCTTTTCTTTAAAAATAAAGAAGGTCGTCCTTTACCGTGAATGGTAATCGATAAAGACAAAATCATAATCAATGGAGTTTTGTTGCCAAAACTTCAAGATATGGAGGTAAATGAAATGTTGTTTCAACAGGATGGTAGAAACAATGATAAATATTGAAAGAACATTTAAGTGACAACATTATTTTGAGAAATGGACCGGGAAAATTAGCCTCTGCTTTAGTGTGATTTGATGTCACTCGATTATCTTTTGTGGGATACCTAAAGCCACGTTTTGGAAACCTATATTCAATGCGTGATTGCTGAAATACTCCCTCAAATGCTTGAAAAGATGGTCAACAATTGGACCTCCCAAAGCCAAGCCAATAAAAAAAAGCGAATTAATTTTTTTTTTTTAAAGTCTGTATCTGTAAGGCAATCGAAATGCTTTGTTCACTTCCTATTCGAAAGAAATCGAGTTGGGGCGAAAGCATTTTTCATGCAAATGTTGATGTGTTAAGAAATGTTATACTACTTTATATAACCAAGTTTCTGTTTTATCTATAGTAGTCTTTGATTTACTATTATATTACAATTCATGTTGTACATACTTAAGTTTTTCATTCCTAATAAAACTTCTACTACAAAAGGTTATGAGCCCAGGAGTCTCTGAGAAAAATAAAAATTATAAAAATATAGAACTTCAAAAATTTATGAAATGGATTTTGCTAAGCACATCAAGCCTTTGGAAAACGAAACGGACTATCCAATATGGAAACGGAAGATGCGTGATTTATTAGACTATCACGAAGGAGCAATTGACGTTATTGAAGGTAAACTAAAGAATCCAAATCCACCATCCTCTGATGCCACGAGTGAACAAAAGAAGCTGTACAAGGAAAAGTCGGACTTGTATAGAAAAGCAAACAGTTATGCAAAATCCATGATAGCAAGCGCAGTAAGTGACAATGTGTATCAAAAGATAATGGATAAAGAAACTGCTGCTGAGGCTTGGGAATCGCTAATGGTTCAATTTGAGGCTAGATCGAAGGATCAATTATTCTTCTCATTTACATGGAATTTAAGTGAAGACGTGAGCTTACATATTGCAAAACTCAAAAGTTTGTGGATAGAACTCAATAACGGATTGAAAGGACGTAAGGAAAATGAGCTCCCAGAAGTTTTATTAGTTTGCAAAATCCTTCAAATTTTACCAAGTCATTTTGATACTTTTAAGTCAAGTTGGATGCTTTTAACAAAAAACGAAGAGAAGAATTTTGAGGAAATGACCGCACAACTCTGTATGTATCAAAGAAATTGTAAAGGTGCTGATGTTAAGGACGAAGAAGCTTTAATGCTTAATAATGTCAAGAAAAAATTCCCACAAACCAATAATACAAAAACAAGCAAGAAAAATGGTGCATGCAATTATTGTCATAAGAAAGGTCATTGGATACGAGATTGCAGAAAATGGATAAGTGATGGTAAGCCTATAAAAGAAAAGAAGGCTGAAGCAATAACTCCTCAACACCAGATTTTACCTTTAATGTATGAAGAGATTAACACAATTAAGGAGGATATTTCAAAGAATTGGTGGATTGATAATGGCGCTACACGACACGTGGCAAATAATAGAAATGTATTTAAATCTTTCGAGAAGTTCAAGGAATGTTGCAAGATTAAAGCGGCCGGTGGTGAAATGTTAGATGTAATTGGGAAAGGTACAGTTGATATCAAGTCTTATGTCAACAACAAGGTAATCCAAATCACACTAACAGATGTTTGGTACGTTCCAAGAGTGTCAAGGAACTTATTTTCTGTTTTATCTGCACAAGACAAGTGTTCAAACAGTGAATTTAAGTCAACAGCAACTGAGTGTGAACTTTGGGTCAATAATAAGGTGATATTAGTTGGTCATCGGGAAAAAGGAGGCACATTGTATCTAGCGGATATTGAAACAGTCATCTCAAATTCAACAAATGAAGTAAATTTAACGGAATCTGATAACACATTGCAACTATATCATGAACGTTGGGGACACCAGAATAAACGCCATGTACAGAAGAAACTAAGGGAGGAATTTGGTATTAATGTAAAACTTGATATGCAAATTTGTGAATCCTGTATTTATGGAAAGTCACATCGATTACCTTTTGGTACTAGAGAGGTTTCTAAAAGACCAGGCGAATTAATGTCAGCTGACGTATGTGGCCCATTCCATATGTCTTTCAGCAAAAGGAAGTATTTGGTCATATTTAAAGATGCATACAGTAAATATTGTTTTGGATATTTCTTGAAGGAAAAATCCGAAGTTAAAACTGTATTGAAGGAAGTTCTAGCTTTTTCAGAAAATCAAGGAAATCCAATAAAAGAATTTTTGAGCGATAATGGTGGCGAATTCGATAATAATGAAGTAAAGCAAATTCTAAAGAAATATGGAGTTACACAGAGACTAACTGCTCCCTACACTCCGCAACAGAATGGTGCAAGCGAGAGGGAAAATAGAACTGTAATTGAGATGGCCCGTACTTTTAAGTACTCGAATAAGAATGTCCAATTTCCTGAAGCTATTTGGGCTGAGTTAGTTC